TAGCTTAATTTGAGCGATCTAAAACAAAGTCAAAGAGCGGTAACTGATGATACCGTGTTCTGCCTTGGTTTCTCCCGGGCTTTTCTCCAAGATACTTATACACATGATAATGGAGGTCATATGTCCCAGAATTATCAATAACTCATTTCGACCAAAAACTAAGTTATGGTGTTTTGTCTTTGCACGGCAGCACTGCTGTCACCATAGACAGGCGTTGTTTCAGCAACCAGCTTCACCCACATCCCACCTTTTTGCCCATTTTCGATTATCCGGGAGTGACGCGCGGTGAATCGCTGCCATGATGGTGGCGGTCGGCTCCGCCCACTTTAGGCTTCAAAAATGCTCTTCTGAAACCTACGAGTGATGTCACGGACCTTCTGTCAAGAAATTGTACAATTGCTGAAAGACCGCCTTCTCTAATATTTTAGAGATAAATGACAGTTTAGAAACAGTCTAAAATTTGATAAAATTGTAGGGTCTAAATTTGGCCGTTTGAGGAGTGGTTGGACAGAGGCCTGTTTCAAATAATCAGGTACAATTGCTGTTTCTAGACATTTATTTGTAAATGCTAGAAGATTGGGCCCTATCGAATTTAAAAGGTGTTTGACAAGGCGAGGAGGAATTACATCAAGCGAGGAACCAGTGGGTTTCAGCTTATTTACAATTTCCTGCAACGACGAGAGAGAAATTACTGTAAATTGATTAAAAACAGCATGACATACAGGAGGCACAGCTGGATCAGATATTACAGGCATAATATTCGATCTTATGTCTCTTATCTTATTAACAAAAAATTGCAAAAATTTTCACACATAATTTTTGACTCGCACTGACGGGTCAAACTAATTGCAGGATTCACTACAGCATTTATAGTTTTAAAAAGAGTTCTTGGATTATTACAATTTATTTCGATGAGGTCAGCAAAGTATTTGGACTTTGCTGATCTCATAGCCCTTTGAAATTTAGAGAGAGCGTCCCTTAGTAGTTCGTAGGAGACCTGTAGTTTATCTTTCTTCCATTTCCTTTCTGCTCTTCTACACGTCCGTCTAATCTCCCGAACAGCCTCATTTACCCATGGCTCAGACTTAGGTTTTTGATATTTAACTTTCAAGGGAGCCACTTTATCTAAAATATTGGTGCAAGCAGTGTTAAACCAGTTAAGTTGTTCAGTTGCACTCAAATCCTGGATTTGCGCATCGGAAACTCCGGCAAGCGCACTGAACGCTGCTGAAAAATCACCACCGGTTTTAGGTGTCAATATACGAGACCAACGCGTAGGTTTAACAGTGCTAGCCATATCTACTTTAAAAGGAATAGAGAACAAGATAGATTTATGGTCAGAAATACCAAAGTCGCCCAGTTCCATATCTTCAATGGATACACCATGCGTTAACACAAGATCAAGTGTATGACCCCGTAAATGGGTAGGGCCTTTCACCCACTGAATTAAATCGAAAGAGTCAATAAGGCTAATGAATTCGTTAACAAATGAAGTTGCCGGACAACAAACATGTATGTTAAAATCTCCCAAAATTATCACTTTATCAAAATTCGATATGATGTCCCCAAGAAAATGTGCAAATTCATTAAGAAAGTCTTTGTGGGCTTTCGGAGGACGATAAAGCACTGCGATCGCCACAGTAGTTTCCATTTCAAGTTTCAGCAGTTGTAATTCGAAACTGTTAAAACCATCCGTCATCAAGGTGTTACACTTAAAATTATCTTTAAAAATAGACAACAAGCCACCTCCCCTACCTGATGTACGAGGGCAATTAAAGGACTTACACCCGGGTGGAAGGAGTTCAGAAAGCGGGCTTATGTCCCCAGTCGTCAGCCAGGTTTCAGTGATGCATAGTATATCCAGACAGTGTGTGGCAAAAAAGTCATTCAAAATGAAAGTCTTATTACCCACCGATCTGGCGGTTATCAGGGCAATTTTCAACTTCACAGGTTCATCGTTGACTTTTGGTGCACGACGAAATGAACGTAGGTGTTGTAAATCCACACCGCCGCGGCGAATACGGGGCGGCCAATACAGGAAAGGCTGAGCTGACAGATCCGATAGGACGGGAACATTCCACCCATACGATGGTTCCAGGGAACGCCCGCAAATGTTCCGATTTCCAGCAGTTTCTCGAGTGGAAGATTGCAGCTCCCGCTGAGCCCTCGAAATCAGTTTGAGTTTGGCGTCCACACCACCTCGCTTTCCGCGCCGCCTTCGACGTCTCCGCCCAGGTAGAGCAAGTGGCATACGGCGAAGATATGCAGGTATCGATGCAAGTAAGGGCGGGGGAGCATAATATGATCCTTGTTGGGTTCCGTTTTGGAGTTTAACTATATCTTTAATGTTCAAGAGTGCTTGTCGATCATACACAAACAGTGATAAAGCTCCTTGACTTAAAACACAAATAAAACACATCATCATAAAAAAGCGCAGAGAAAAAAAATGGTTGCGTGGAGAGATGTTCAGAGCGGGTGTGGGGTGTTAGACTGGGAGTTTCAAATCTACAGTAAAACTCATTCAGGTCTTCAGCAAGTTGTTGATTGGCCTCAGTGCTGGGGGGTGGTGTCTTGTAGTTGATAATGTCTTTCAGGCCTTTCCAAACTGATGCAGGGTCATTGACAACTGGTGTTCTAGCTTTTTAGCGTAGTTCCTCTTGGCCACTCTAATCTCCTTATTCAGTGTGTTTCTGGCCTGATTGTACAAGACTCTGTCCCCCCTTTTGTAGGCGTCCTCTTTGGCCTGACGAAGATGACGAAGTTTTGCTGTAAACCATGGCTTATCATTATTGAATGTTAAATGAGTCCTGGTAGGGATGCACATGTCTTCACAGAAACTGATATATGATGTTACAGATTCCGCGAGCTCGTCCAGATCGTTGGTGGCTGCTTCAAAAACACTCCAATCAGTGCAGTCGAAACAGGCTTGCAATGCCTGCTCTGTTTCGTTGGTCCATCTCTTTACAGACTTTACTACAGGTTTAGCAGATTTAAGTTTATGCCTGTAAGTCGGTATAAGATGAACCAGGCAGTGGTCAGAGAGTCC